TATCCAAACAGATTACACAAATGGTACACGAATTGTTAACTGATAATGTGTCAACAAAACTTCCCTTAATTATGGTGCCGATACGAATTTATCGTTCATAATCACTTATGAAATTCCGAGATTGAACCTCAAGGAATTCAAAATTAGAGAAAATATCCAGGAGGGTTACAGAAACGGGCTCTCAAAAAAGGCTCTTGAATTCGAAAACTGTAAACAACAATTATTTACGCTAACCATGTGCTTAACAGCGTGCATGTGAGCTCAAACTGCCAGGACTCCGTTTAATTAAATGATCACAATTCGGACGCTTCTTGCAAAATGTGATGACTATCGATTTCAGAGACTCAGATTCTTCAGTTTCAAGCATTGGGAAAAAATTATCGCATCGCAAGCGTGTTTATCATAACCCGAGCAGTAAGAAATCCTCGACGTGTTGAGCGAAGAGAAAGTCGTTCCATGTTTTGTGAGACGAACCATTTCCTGAAGTTCGAACTAATCGAGTAGAAAGCATCAAAACATAGCGCTGAAAAGTACCATGACCAAACAATGAAATTCACTCATTCCACAGTAGGACTGACTCCATTTCGCCGTTCGCTATCATTTGAAAACTTTCTAGACAAAGCAAATCCGTAACATGACTTCTTTTCCCTTAACACCACGACTTTACAAAACGTTCCAAACGATAGGACTAGAAATAACTTGAGGAATGCGAACATATTAAAATGTTATTCGAGCGTCATTGTCATACCGACACGTGATTTGAATTGTAAACTGAAGTTAGTATCAAACGACGATTGATGAAAGAAATTCAGAACCATTCCTTTTGTCTACAATTTGATGATTGGATACCTAAAAAGAATGGAGAAAATTCACCGAAAAACGCTTTTAAAATTGGGATACAGAAACTTGGATTAAAATTGAACCCTGGGTTAACACTAATCGGACTTTGAACAACCGGGCACAGAGCTTAGCATTTCAGAGCCGCGCGGGTTTTTGCGTCAATTAATGCAGGCGCGCGACTGGAACCTCTTCGTTAAAAAAAAAATTGAATAAACATGAAAAATTAAACGACTGTGAAAGACTATGATTACAGGGATTTGTAAAGTGAAAATAAATAAAAATGAATACTCAAAGATGACGTCTCTATGTGTCGAAACATCTTCAGTTCCCTGGTAGAAGCTCGTAAAAAATGGTAGGAAGGTTTCGAAAATTGCAAAAATTGTTCTTGTTTCATGCACCGAGCACTTGCGTATTATTTCTGTATCTATCTTGCTCATGAGTTTATGAGTGAGTTTATCGCTAACGTTATTGACTTGGCAAAAAAAAGATTTGATCATTTCGAAAAATATTAAGTGACTATTATGGATTTCCAAAGAGGGCAGAGTTTAACTCGAACAAGTTGTATCACTTCCATCATTTACGTCGTAATCTTCTGATCATTTTTTTTTCAACAGAAAAAAACGAAGTCTAGAAATTAAGTAAATTTCACTCCTATATATTTCAGTTGCAGTTAAAGCGCAAACAAAACGGTTTTCGAAAAGAAGAATTCCGGGCGAAATAACTGTGTTAACAGGAAATGAAATTGTAATTTAGTCTTCAGTTATATTGAATATAAGGGTGGAAACTGGAAACATTTTACTAGGTACTTCAGGCTACTAACGGTCAAGTGTGGATTGTACCGACTATAGTACCATAATTGTTAGTGACTTGTTTAGCCCGTATGCATGGAGCATCACGATGAAAAACTACTTAAATTAATTTCCACTGCCTTCCGTACAGGAATCTTGGCATTTTGTTAGAGGCTACCGCCAGGTTAGGAGAGAAAACCCAATCTGTTAGACCCTTTTCAACGGTTAAACGGCTATACCCGATTAATAATCTCTTTCAAATGCGAAACGAAATTTGTTATTTCCAGTATAGAGCTTTGACACTTAACTGCTGCCTCGCCGCTGTTGCAGAGCTCTTTCAAGCAGTATATCGATGGATTTTTAGTTAGCAACAGCGTCAGTGAAAAATTAAAAAAAAAAAAAAAGGGAAAATGGACGGATCTATCTCCTTGAAAAGCAGCGAAGAAAGGTGAACCAGAGTTTAATCGCTTCCGAAAAAACGCACTTCTACAGGGTTGTGGCGTTGAGATAAAAAGTGGGAAAGCCTTCGCATTAGGGGAGGTGTTCAGAAGGTGAAGGGAGTTGTTAATGGATGTGCTTGCCGGACAAAGACGAAGACGACTGCCGTTTACTTGATGGAAAATCCCTGGATTTGCAAATGTGCAAATTTACTAATTGGTCAATGAAGAATTGAGAAACAGAAACTTTTTTCAGGATGTAAAATAAATACAAAGAATCAGCTTAACCTCTCGACCCCAACCTTAAATTGTGGTTGAACTCATCAGAGATTGTGTGACTATCGAGTCACTTTATTTAACAGGGTTAATAACGAAATTTTTTTGTGTAAATATTTAGCCTATCATATGTACAAACCAATTCCGATAGAAGTAAAATTTCAATGAACTTAAAACTTGATTCTTTTTCGGGCCCTAAAGTACTCTTAGTTTGTCTTTAAAGTGTCGCGTGGACTGGTAACGAATTAGTGGATGATGACTCGTAGAAAACTGTGAAACTCTCCGTTGACACTTACAAATCTCTTACATCTCATGTAATTTTGTATCAGTCAGCGGCGGTTGAAATACTCTTGAAACATTGTCCGACAGCGATGTATACCTACTTACAGCAAGCTCTACAGAGAGTTTTGATACATCGTACACAAGTAGTGAAGAAGAAATGGAAGTTGCGCGGCGCACGGTTCAGCCCTACGAAGGAGAACAGCGTGCATCAAACGAAGATTTCGACGAAGATTGACTAAGACAGTTTCTCGCCTGCGGTGTCCAGGTCAAGAACAAAAGACTCCCATTACTGAACGTTTTTTTGTTGCGTTTGTGTTTTATTTTCTACGGCGAAGTCTATGTTAAGAACTAGAATGGGCAGCTGTGTTTATTTCTGTTGCCATAATATTTTATCCTTCCCACAAAGTGCGGCGAAGGTTCCCATGGTCAGTGTTCTCGAGTTTCGTTGCTGTAGAGTAATTCCCTTAGCAAACCACAAACTAACTTGTGACGAAAGAATCGGCTGTATCACGAGGCAAGATGGTTTTTCGCCGAGAAGTCATCGGGCAGTTTCACTGCAAGTTGCTCCTTTCCTCAGAGATTGCAAAGGCAGAGGCTATCGTCGTCGAGTCGGTAAAACGGAAAACGAGTGAGTTTATAGTCATCTGATACAAGTTAATATCAAATATGGATTTTATCAGAGAGAAACCTCTTTATTTTAAGTGCAGCATTGCCATAGGACCCATTTCGCTCAATGGCAAATAACTGGCATCAGTATTGTAAATGATTATTTCATGTGCATCGACTTTTGGACCGGTGGATCAATGGGGCAATCAGTCAACAAAGCATGGATTTTCAGGATTTCATTGAAAACAATATTGAGGTAATTTGAAGCTGCAACTGCAAAATTAAAGAGTATTGGAAACGAATCCCTTTCTAACGAAAAAAGCCAGATAAAGGGAAGTGAAATCAAAAGTACTTTGACTGGAAAAGGCCCTTAAAAACACCTTAGTAAACAATGCATTACGATTACCAAAAAAAAGTGTTACATGTAAAAACACGTGAGCCTAATGGCCGTAGATTAGAGTCCAGTCCGTTGCGATTTCGGTAACGCAATAACTTTCACACAGCACTTGGATTCTCTATCATTTATTTGAATAAAATTTGTGTTTCTTTATTTATCTCGTTGAAATGCTGTCATCATATTGACTTAGGTTAAGAGAATACACGGCCGGTCCCTTCAAGCTCGTGTTTATGCTAGTTCAAGCAACAGGATATTTGTCAGGTCAGGATGGGGCTCGAACTTTATTACAAATTATGTATTCCTGGTCACAAACTACGAAGGAAACTACAACTGATAGGATTTTCATACGATGAGAAAAGTGCAAATGCAGTCATGTGGAAAGACAAGGGGTATAAGTACATCTCATGCGCGTGAAATAAACAACAATAAGGAGCTTCGCTTGCGACATATCAGCCGAAAAGAATGTTGTACAATCGATCACGGCGTGGGAAAAGGCTCCTTAATCAGTATTCTTTTTAGCTGAACTCATTAGTTATCTTCCCCTAATTTTTTTAGTGCTATGTGTTCATAACAGCCGTCTTCGAAGCCGGTACGGAGCGTAAGGCCGACGACATTGAGGAGTAAAATCTCCTCGGTGTCGAAGATCGAAAGGCGTCCATTTGGCCATACAGCTACATCCTTTGGAAAGAAGTGTATAGAAATACCCGCTATACGTGTATTATTGTTGTAGCTAATCATCTTACGGCGCTCCGGCCACGCAATACGTTCGTCCCATCTTCTACATTTCATCTCTCTCTCTACCATAGTTGCCGACGTTCCTTCACTCTTTCCTACGTCACAACGATGTAACATGATCGTTTTGGCCGCGCGCTTAATGGAGACCCTTTTTGGCCGCCAAATGTTACTTTCAATGAGCAAAAAAATGGTCAAGGAGAACTCGTTGGGCGCCAAGGTCGATTATTTCTAAATTTATATACAACTATCAACCACAAAATGCAAAAAAAAAAAGACGTGTTAAAGGCACATTAATTAAACCACCTTAAAAGTAATAAGAAAACTGGCTGGTATTGTGAGGAGTGAAGCGCAACTTGATCCTCACCGATCGTTGCTTTTCACCGAAGTAATTTCTTTCCATCCTACCAACAGCTCTGTTTGTTGTCGAATACCTTCCTTTACAGATTGACCTCTAGACGCCCGATTGTGGTTAAACTCATCAAGGATTATGTAAATATCGAATTAATTAGCGTAACCACTATGCATAACCATGAAAGCAACAATAGAAGTCGATCAGTTATGATGACGAGCAAGACGCGACTTTATCTTGATGATCACTGATTTTCTCTAAAGTAGTCTCATTCCACTCTGCTTACAGCTATGTCTTTTGTCGAATACCGAGTTCTTCTGTATCAGTTTAGCGAGGAAATCGATTGGCAAACTCAACGAAGAAAGTTGATATTTATCCTCAGAGCTTACCTTTCTGATGGCTCGGAAGGAGGTATCACTGACATGGATTCGTTACTTACTATGCTGGAGGAGAATAGCATTCTTGGAATTGATCGTCTTAATGTAATGAAGGAACTACTAAAGGAGATAGGAAAGTGGGATCTTCTTCGCAGAATAGAGCGATTTGAAATTAAGAGAAAGGACTACAAACAGTTACTGGAGAAGATAAGTCACGCACTCGACGAGTCCAATGAACTGCAACGACTCATTTCAATCTGCAGAGGAAAAAATCTGATAGCTCGTGAAAGCGAAGAAGATATCGTCGATGTCAATGGATTGTTCACAATGCTAGAACAACAGAACAGTTTTGGCATAGAGGACCTCACTCTCCTGAAAACTTTAGCAAACGAGGTGGGGAAACCAGATTTGTGCAGACTACTAGAGGAGTTTGAGAAGAAGAGAAAACAGGAAGAAGATGCCGAGCGGGAAAGGAGAGAGAGGGAAGACAACATACGAAGAGCGAGAGGTATGGAACAATTCCTAACCGAAATTCTTTCTTTTTTTCTAAACATTTCATCAAATTTTCTTGGCCAAACTTTGATTTGAAATCGAACATGGCGAGTAGAATTCTTGGTTTTTGAGTTTGTGAAGTTGTCAGACCTAAATTTAGTGTCTTTTCAATCGACTAAGAACTGTGAAATCAGAAACTAAGCTTGCGAAGATTCGATTTCGGACTATGTTGCTAACACAAATGGATAGTCGTTTTCACTTACCTGTATGGAAAATTGAAACCCTCGACCTCACATGGTCGCTCTACCAATTGCCTAGGTATTTCTTCCCAACTCGATATTTTTACAAGGTTTTAGCTTAGTTTTAGGCTCACAGAGTGAAAAACGTGCAAAATATATCTATGTAGTTCATTGTAATGTTATTAATGGGGGTACACCTTTTCATGTGCACCCTTTTGAAGGCATCGATAGAGTGCTGGTAAGACATGTTGAGACAATATGGCGGGCGAAAACACTAATTTCGTTCCAGGGCCTCCTCTATGTTATCTTCAAAAACGGAGAGTCGCTGGCAAGAGTTAAAGGAGAAGTTTGCTCTACTTAGTAGGTGGCGTTTACATCCTTTGTGCAATTTGCTAGTCACCGCGGGTTGAGACTCCAACGAATCAACAAGTGCTTGAAATTTTTTCTTTATTTACGCTAAATGCTCATCTATGGACGTTTCTACTTTCAAAACACCTTGATAACCTGGTCATTCACCCAAAAACAAAACGTGAGATTTACAAACAGCTCTTGAAAAGTTATCGCAAAAGAATTGAGTCTAAAAAGACCTTTTTGTAGCTTTCAGCTCCAAGAGATGCAAGGAGTGAGATTTTACCCCACTTCTGATCACTTAACCATTAACACCCTAAAATCAGCTTACATATTCTCCATTCTGTTCTTCATACATTTGCTATGGCACTGACAAGAGAAATTTAGGTAATAATCAAGAGCTTCTTAAGGTTGCGATTATTTTCTTAATTCATGGGCGAAATGATTGAGTCAGTGGTCACGCCTTGTTTGGAAATTAGATGCTAGTTACCCTATGGGTTTAAAGGGTTAATATACCAGTGATCAAATGGCCCTGCAAACCGTAATTCTATGCCAGGAACATGAAAAGTCTGCGAAGTGAAGTATTTAAACAGATCGATGTTCAATATTTCTCTCCCTGTATAGTTATTAATACAAAGATTGTTTTATTTCACATTCAAGCTCAGGCCGCTTCTGTTATTTTTGGTGGTATAAACATAGGAGAAAGATTAATAGGAGGTAAGACAGTGTTAATTAATCTTGCTGAGAAGCAAAGCCAAATTATGTGGAACCTAAAATCTGAAACAGTTAAACCCGCGGACACAGTGGTTTTAAAAGGCTCACACTACTAGAGTCTTTGCGTGGTTATTGCATACTCAAAACTAAAATTATCATCCTTACCAGAAAGCAATAATAAGAACCAACAAAGAAAAAGACATTTTCTTGCTATCTACTACTGAAATAAACATGGAAATTGCTTAGTCTGGACAATATTCGTTAAAGTCCTTTCCTTGAAAAATCTTTTACATTTTTTTTTTGCTGTGATCGAAAAAGAATAGTTTGTGTCTATAGTAAATCCACTTCTCTTTATTCATAAGCTTCCTTGTCGTCTGTCTCAGTAACATGTAACTTTCGAAAACAGCAATCCACTCAAATCTAGTCTTTGCTAGGCTCTCAGTTGCTGGAGATAAGCAAAGAAGTAGGAAAGAAAAATATGCGAGGAGCCTGTGAAGGAGTACTCTCTCCAGCCGACTCTCCCCAAACGTTTGTTTCTTTGGTTAGGCCCTCTTTTTCGGTCGACTCCACAAGCGGCTAACGTAACCCTATGATTTCTACATTTTTTACAAGTTGTCACACCCCACTGTACTTTCCGCAATGTTACTGGTGGTGCTGTGGTCGTAACTACATGGATGGTCCTTCGCAGGAGTCCCAGTATGGAAGCATTTGTCAATGCTTTCAAAGAAGCTGTTCTTCCATTTGGAAATTGCTTGCGTGCAATTAGTGAAGGATCGATCCGATTTACGCTTCAAGCAGAAAACATTTCCGCTCTTGACGCACTTTGGCAAAGTTATCGAGACGAAACACTACAGACAAATTTACAAGAGTTTCTTGTTACTGAGAAAATAAAGCAGCTGGCAGGTGGTGAAGTGACGTTGACTGTGGACATCGACGAAGATGAATACAGAAATGCTATGTTCGATTTGACGATATCAGGAACAGAAGGTAATTACACCTTTAATAGTCACGCCATTATGCATAACCCCTTCTGCGAGATGAATTAGAAACGTCTCTTGTTATGGCTATCAATGAGACGAATCACGGAATCTAGAAGATGTGATTTGAAAATTAAAGTTGTTGCGTTACAATCCATCTAATATTTTTCCTCGTATGCGACTTATTACTTCACGAGACTGAAAATGCACCAGCTCATATATAAGCCTCCAGTTTTATTTTCCAGCTGATGTTTCCTGATTTAATCTTACCTTTAATCTGATCTCTTTCATGAGATAACACTATTTGATTAAATTGCATCCAATTGTGGCGCGAATAAAGAGACAAATGTTCGTGTTGACAAAGGACAAATATACGCTTAAATCTCTAGCCAAGCGGGGTTGAGGAAAGTTACCAGGTGAGTTTTCAGAAAAATTATGTTTTCATTTAGTTTTTTCGTCTCTTTTCCAAGACATCATGCACTACGTGTTATCATTATTGTGCACGAGTTGATTATAATTATCTACATAGCTGGAATTCCTTTGTTCTTTCCGGAGGGGACTCGATCTCAATACTTCTAAATTATTTGATAAGCGCTCTTTGTTTGCTAACGCACTTCCTTGCCGCTAACATAAATTGTTCTAAGTCCAGATATTTGGGTTTGCAAAAAGATCCATAGTGCAGAAATTGAAACTGTGGACCTGGTATATTTCCTTTTTTTCAGCCCGATCTGTCGCATCACTTTTTGTGTTTGTTTGGTCGAACAACAGATTGAGCTGGGAAAGAGTAGTTGCTCATAATCGATCAAAATTTCTTTCTCTTCACGTGACAACAGGTTCTCCAATTGATTATCGAATGACATCCGTAACTCTTCCGCGAAAACAGCCCTGTGAGATAAAACGCGCTGACTTCAAATGGGTCGATGTTGCTGTTTCTAAAACTCATTCGAAAAGCAAATTTGAGATGGGTTAAAAAAATGTTATTTCTAGAAAACTTAGTAGCGAATGTGGCCAAAAATCGAGCATGTTCAAAATATGGTGGCAACAGCCAAAAATTCAATTCGGCTCATATTCTCAAGTTAGGTAGGCCGTAGAGAGAAACAAACCACTGCATACTTCGTTTGGCTGAATATTGTTTTATTTTGGAGAAAATTGACAATAACTAAATTCTACTCAAAATGCCGCATTTGAAGCACAAAATTGCAGGCGAATCTCGGAGCGTCGCGTTACAAATTAAATGAAGCCTGGACGGATAAAAGTACCAAATCGCACATGGGTTTGTTTACTTTGTTTTTTCTGGTAAAATCTGGATTTTTAGTATTTTAGAAGTGAGTGTGAAAATTCTGGTCAGACCAAACAACAGGCGTGTCAAATCCGTCATCACGCATCATCTACGCTTTATGATATATTGCCAAATTCATTGATGGCTTTAGACCCGACTATACCTGAGGGGGATAGATCACTGCTTATTCGGCTAGCTTCTTGGGCAAGAATATTAAATATCTAACAAGCAGGGATTATTCTTTTAAAAGCCGCTGTTTCAAATATACAATATCAGCACAATTCACACTCAGAAGACATGTATTTTACGCTAAGTCCCTGATGTGAGGTATACCGACCCACAAACGATCCTGCTGTATCTGGTGCAATGATTATTCTTTGCGTTTCTTGAGTTTCGTGATACACAGAAATATTTCATAACCGAACGTAAGTTGTTTTGGACCACCACCCGGAAAAGATAAAGTGAATGTAAGAACGTGCTACCCGAGTCGTTGTTTAACAACCGGCACGAGTAACTTCACAAGGCGTGGTAGCCTCTGGAGAAGTAGTTTAAATATAAATTTGTGGACGCTGGATGGTGCAAAAATTTCAGTGAAATTTTTGGTTTTCCAGTTGTGATTTTGACCCTTATACAGCTCTCTTTTAAATAAAGAAATATTCTGTCATTGCAGTGTTGGGCCATGCCCTTTGAAGATCTATCGCTTTATCCACCTAAAACAATAATTGAAAAAATACCATGATTCATTAAATCATGATACGTTTAACTATGACCGGGGTTAGATGATTGCATACTCCTGTTTCGTATATTTAAAACTTGACCTAAATTCCCGAAGCCACATATTTCACAGGCCAATGCACTATTTTTGCCGAGTTGTCGATGCCAGTAGATCTCTTTTTGAATTATTGGCGTTAATCCTCACACGGATGAGTACTTTTATTTAAACAAATATCTCTTTCGTGAAGTTATTAAGAGAGTGTCTCTGTAAGAGCGGTCCGGTCGATTTTGCTTGAGACACGGATTTCGCTCGTTTCTCGTGTGTTGTAAGACATTCATGTACCTATACTAAAACCACAATCAGTTTGATCGGATCTCTTTATTTTTCAGAGTTTTACGGAAATTAAATTTCACTCGAGCGAAGGCTTGTTGTGACACTTTTCAAGACTTTAATTTCATACAACTTTGGAGGACAATTTACAAAAAACTACGGAACTCAGCAAAAAACAAATACCACAGCCATGTATATTAACTCTATCTTACCTATCGAGGCGACTTTCGTAAACATCACGTGTCAATCAAGGAAACAGGAAGACTTGAATGACACCTTATCAGTTCGCCTAAATCAAACACGCCAAAACCGATCAAATTCAAGGTAAATTTTTGAAAAAGTGAGGCGTTCTTAACTGATCCAACTAACATAGCTAGGAAGTAGGTGCCATAGAAAAGATAACTACAGAAAAAAACTTTGTGGCCCGACCTTTACGAGAACTTTATAACTCCCTGAACTTACCTAAATTTCGGCAATCTCCAAGTTTGGCCGCCATTTTGAGGGACTTGTCAACATGAAGCGTAACCGATAAAAATAGGGCAGGTTAATCTAAAACCGTCAGAAATATATAAGAAAGCAATTCAAATGAACTTTACTTTCAATTCAAGCGGCAAAATATGAAATTGTTTGTTAAACTTACCATCCCCATGCGACCATTTATTCCAACAATACAAACACTACAACTTTCTGAATTCCCCTCGTCGATTCCACCGCAAGAAATAACCTGTGCCACCCAAGCTTCGACTTGAATGTGAAGTACGAATCAAATAACATAACTGCTTCACCTTTGCGGCAATATCACGCTGGTATTTTGATTTTCCGATCGACAAGAGCGGTGATCAAGAATCGATCGGTTTGTTTACCTCGTAAACGTGACCGCTGACCAGCTGCTGAGTGAAAACAGCACGGTTCACTGTCGAGGGGCGGGGTGAGGGGTGGATGCGGGCAGATTATCAGAAGGTTTTTGGGAACATTCGATAAACATTAGGATTCTCAGTCTTAATGCGAAGGCATACTTCGTGTTGCAGACAACTTTTGTTTTACTTAATATTCTTTTTTATTTCAAATACACTTCGTTCCAAATAGGACTAGCATCAGTTCATAGATTTAAAAACAAATCTTTACCACGTAAATAAATGTGTTTAGATAATCGAGATAACCATTGAACCTCTTGTATCGCACCGGAAATAACGTGTCTTGTCTTTGCCCAACTCTGAGAGCGTGGAGCGGCGAAGACGCGAGATACGAGTCTCGCATTTCGCGGATTTACCATGCTCACAGGATAAGCGTAACCTCACTATCTTTAGGAAAAATAAGAGACTACTCGAAGTCTGTATTCCGTTCAACCATTTTATAAGAGTGACGCGAGTCTGTCAATTGAATGAGAAAGTCACAAACCCATTCTTTACCTCACTAGCGTAACCACTGACCACTCACGAATTACAGTAGGCTTCTCTTTTAACGCGGAAATTGAAATCGTATCGACTATACAAAGTTATAATGAGTTCCTTTAGATGTCCCGAACTTGTATCGCGTTGGAAACAATTACAAGTACAGGAAGAAGTCGTTCACAAGCGAGACGTTCATTATGTCTCAGGACTGCTTTTTGAATAGCAAAGATGGAAAAAACTTTGGTTCATCGTGTGGCTTAAGTGGTTTGGTACGACTGTTTGAATACAATGACGAAGTAAAATATCATTTGATAAGCTGCCACCTGTCTAAAGAGGTTTTTAAGTGAAAATGAGCTAATCTTGGCAAGGATTGGCCTATTTCACCTCGCTCAGGAGGATAAACAAAAAAATGTGGATTTGTTATAGGCATCGCTACACTCTGGGGAAGTTTTGGAGAAGTGCAAAGGTAACACGTCAGTACCCTGATCATGATGGTGTCAGGAAGCGTATCCAAGGCAGAGATGTAATTACCTTGCATATGTCTCAGGACGTTCAAAAGCTGTTTGGAGTTATTATTCCAGTTGAATCAGGTGGTCTTCAGTAACATTTTCTGTTTTCTATTTTTGTCACGTGACATATCTGCTCGAAAAGAGAAGAAATTCTTTATTAGATGAAGGGTACTTAAGTACACATCACGTTGAAAAAAAGTAGATCTATGTGTAAGTGCTTTTCATCACAGATGGAAATATGTACAAAGTTGCTCGGTTGATAATCAATAATGTTTTTGTAGAAGATCAAATCACCTGACAACGCAATCTACTTACTCATGCGTACGGTTCACAATTATTTGCGGTCAGTTTTCCTCAGTTTGTATGATTCTCATTAACCGATATGATTAAATTTGCAGACTAAAACACCCCTTATTACATTAAGAATAATAAAAGTAAACAGTGCATGTCGGTTTTTAATTCCTGAAGGATGCTACTAGGCTTTACTTTAACTGAGAAATTTGCAATCGCTTACCTCAGCTCACTGTGTCCCATGCCGTAAGAAGCACAAGAAAAAAGTTGATGATAGTGAGTCTTGGCTGAGACAAGAAGAATCAGAGAAGAATCTACGGTCCCCAGAAACGCCACTTTTAAACACGAGACAACTAAGGTAAATTGAATGAATTGTTATTTGTTTTATTTAAAACTATCGTTCAGATTATAAGATACGCGAAAAACTCTCCCCACCGATTTTTTCCTACATTCTGTTAATCAAAAGTTTCAATAATTATGAAGGCTTTCTCGTTGATCGTCTTAATAGTAACAGTTTCCAGGATCCAAGGGGACCAAAAGAGAGAACAATTTTCTGTGTAGCTAGGTAAGGCGACATGCCAGCTTTATACTTCTTCCGGCGTGATAACGATAATGATGTCAACAATGGGCAAAAAGCACCGTCCGCTAATGATGACGATTATCATAGTTATTAACAATTCTCAGTTATGGTCCTGAAAAAAATCTCAAGGGGTCCTTTGAACCATCCTCTTAATCTCGCCAGAAGTCAAAGTTGCCTAAACTCATTCTAAGGTTCGTGCGATTTTACGACGAATTTTCAATTCCGGTGTGTTGCACGCGCGACTTTTGATAGAAAAAACCTGCACGCGCCATAACTTAAAAGAACGTGTCAGCGGAATGAATCAAATCTCTATCACTTTGCATACATTCTTGGGAACAGAAAAAATTGCTTAGAGCAAACATTCTAAGTATAGTGTTCATTCCGTGCAATAGGGCATAAATAAAAGGTTCTGGTGGAAAAGACATTTTATTTTATACCACTGATGACAAGCAAAAAGGTTATATGGGTGCTCGGTTAAAAATATATTGATAAGTGTATTAATTAATACCAGTTCTAATTTAAAGGAGAAAGTTATGAGAATAAAATAAAAATTGTCTGTACCTCGAAGCATGCCTTCACTGTTTAGACTGATAGTCCTAAAGCTTTTTGAGCATACTTCGAATATCTTATGACGATAAGCCCGCCAACCACCCACCCCGCGCTATGCTGTTTTCACTTAGCGGCTGGTCAGCGGTCACGTTTACGAGGTAAACAAACCGATCTATTCCTGATCACCGTTCTTGTCGATCGGAAAATCAAAATACCAGCGTGATATTGCCGCAAAGATGAAGCAGTTATGTTACTTGATTCGTACTTCATATTCGAGTCGAAGCTTGGGTGGCACAGGTTATTTCTTGCGGTGGAATCGACGAGGGGAATTCGAACACTAGTTGTAGTGTTTGAATTGTTGAAAGAAATGGTCGCATGAGGATTGTAAGTTTAACGAACAATTTCAAATTTTGCCGCTTGAATTGAAAGAAAAGTTCATTTGAATTGCTTTCGTATGTATTTCTGACGGTTTTAGATTAACCTGCCCTATTTTTATCGGTTACGCTTCATGTTGACAAGTCCCTCAAAATGGCGGCCAAACTTGGAGATTGCCGAAATTTAGGTAAGTTCACGGAGTTATAAAGTTCTCGTAAAGGTCGGGCCGCAAAGTTTTTTTCTGTAGTTATCTTTTCTATGGCACCTACTTCCTAGCTATGTTAGTTGGATCAGTTAAGAACGCCTCACTTTTTCAAAAATTTACCTTGAATTTGATCGGTTTTGGCGTGTTTGATTTAGGCGAACTGATAAGGTGTCATTCAAGTCTTCCTGTTTCCTTGATTGACACGTGATGTTTACGAAAGTCGCCTCGATAGGTAAGATAGAGTTAATATACATGGCTGTGGTATTTGGTTTTTGCTGAGTTCCGTAGTTTTTTGTAAATTGTCCTCCAAAGTTGTATGAAATTAAAGTCTTGAAAAGTGTCACAACAAGCCTTCGCTCGAGTGAAATTTAATTTCCGTAAAACTCTGAAAAATAAAGAGATCCGATCAAACTGATTGTGGTTTTAGTATAGGTACATGAATGTCTTACAACACACTAGAAACGAGCGAAATCCGTGTCTCAAGCAAAATCGACCGGACCGCTCTTACAGAAACACTCTCTTAAAGCCTCCTTTTCGAGGGGATAGAGAAACTCCGAAATACGTTTGGTAAGAGTATGTTCTGGACGCGTTGACTATCCAAGTTATTTTTCTTTTATGTGAACGATGCAACAGTTTATGGACCGTAGCCTTCTTCTTCAAAACAGCAACATGAAAGGTAAGAAGATTTTATGTTAAATAAGCTGTAGGCTGGCAGTAAAATGCGAAACAGTTGAGTTTGCGTGTGAATGTGTGCATTTTCGACTGATTGACGGCAACGTCGGATCGGCGCATTTTATCCAACTTAAAAGTTTGATTAAATCGCGCTGAATTTTCCCTAAAAATCCTTTGGAAATCTAAAAGAACTACACTTTGCCTTCCAAAAGCTAGATTTTCAGCAATTTATTTTGTGTACCAAATAGTTAGATAATGGTTACTTTTGACCTATTTTTTATGTAGTTAAAAGTTGGTCGGACAAATTTAATTCGATTGTGTAAATAAATGGTCAAGAGTTGCTCAAATTGCTGACAACATATATTTTGATGCTGTTTTTTAAGATTTGATACTTTTAATCGGTTCAGGTTTTTTCAATTTGTGACGCGGCGCTCCGAGATTCGCCTGAAATTCTGAGCTTCAAAAAGTGGCATTTTGACGGAATTCAGTTATTATCGACTTTCCCGAAAATAAAACGATATTCAGCCAAACCAAGTATTCTGTCACTTATTTCCCATTGAGACCCACTAAAATTTGAAATATGGGCGAAATTAATTTTTCAGTTGTTGCCACCAAATGTTTGACCATTGGTAACATCCGCTCTTGAGTTTCACCTACCTTGTGGGTTATTGCTTACTAGCATATCATTTATTTCCGAGAGCTTGATGATTATCCAAATAAGGAAGGATGCTCAATGTCTCATTTCTCTTTTGCAAATGATGTAGGGCGCACCGCCTCATTCAGCATTATATATATAGCATATTTGACTATAAATTTTAGAGATGAAATTTGAGGAAAAAAGAGGATTAAAAGATCGAGCAAGTTCTGATTCAGACCTTCTGAAAGAACGAAACATGACCACAGCCAATACAAAAGATCCTTTTCCAGAGGGGAAATTCTTACCATTTGACAGAAAAGTGCGTGTAGAAGAATATTTGGAAAATCTTCAGGAGACCTTCAGCGAAATCACACTGCCGAGTGATAGCGGAGTAGGGACCTGGAGTAGTGCTACTTCTGAATGTGGATTTGACAAAGGTGAAAATGATAGCTAGTCTCCACCGAATGATAATTCTTGATAGAATAGGTATGAGTTGCTGAGAACTATAGCTCGACTCTCGCCGAGTTCCCATCATTGAATGTCTTTCCCTTACGGCTTCGCGAGTCAATTGTAATGTAGCCATAAATGTTGATGTCAGATATCCCAGTCTTAGAAACCTTGCTTTCGTGTTCATAGTCATGTTGGTTACTTGGGGAAACGCCAGTATCCTTGCATAACTGGGCTTTTACTTTGATAGTAGTTGGGTGTAAGGAATGTCTCGAAAAAAGGTAGCCCAGGTGTGAAAGTACATCCTCCAACACTCACTCGAACACGAAGGACAAAGTCAAAAAAGATGCCCACAGAAAGTGTCGCAGTATCGTAATCTATGATGTCACCTCTTCCCCACTAACACCAAACCAAGTTTGAAGGAAAGCAAGGCTCTTAGCACCCTCTCGATCAAGCATGAAAGCTCATCATGGCCAGTAACGTATTAGGGTAACACTGCCTTTCACATTAGCAATATTCTTTCATTAATTCAGCATGGGTTTAGAGACCCTGAGTTCCTCAGTGAACCACCATATACCTAGGTGATGCCACTCCCTCAGAATTACAAGATAGCCGGGGTCTTGTCTTGTCTTTATCAACGTGACAAGATAAATGCTTTTGTATTAAGCCAGGTCCGTGAATTTAGGAATGTCTTTAACAACAACAATAATAGAGAAATTGTTTTTCGGTTTGTTACGAGGACAAAGAAACAAGTGTACTACACCATGAGGAATCGAGTCTCAGATATTTGCCAAGGCTCAGATCCTCCACTGAGACTCTGCGATGAGTTAGGCCATGAAGTGGTTGGAAACTTAGATTTCTTGCATTTCTTTCTCGATTTCTTTACCGAGTTCAGATCTTTTCTTCATTCTCATTCTGTTCATGAATCCTCAGGAGACAGACTTGAAAAGCTCGACCAGGTTGAAGGTTTAATCAAAGATGCCGTTGAGAACTGGAGCAGCTTTCAGGAAGCATACAGAGATGCACACCCATCCGAAGGTTATATGATCGATTAATTACTTTCAACGAATTAATCGTACTTTTAATTAAATCATAAGTTGATTGACTTTCAAAACTGATACTATCACAGAAGATACAAATTTTCTTTAAAAAAACTATTATTCGAACAAAGGGGTATCCAGATGAGAGTTTAATACTGGTTTGATATTCTTGTGAAAAGGAAATTTAGCGCCTCTTCTTTCTGTCATACTTAGCCGGATGGCCATGTGTGGCTGTGAGTGATAATCGATTGCTTGCTTTTAAGATCAGTTACCAGATGAGAAATTGATTCATCATCTTTCTGCGATGTAATGTGTTTAAAATAGCCTTTGTTTGCGTAATAGCAACAACATAATAAAAAAATTTATGTGGCGTAAATACTGTAAATGTATTCAAAAGCGCTTTACACTAAATACTACCAGATTCACACATGAAAAACCCACGTTATATGTTTCTGGTACTACAAAATATTGAAATAAAAGCTTTCCTGAAAAGAATCGTTTTATAGTTAGTTCTTAAAAATCGCGAGGCTTTTACAAGTTGTAATCGGTAATGGTGGTAATTTCCATAGGACAGGAGCAGCATGAGTGAGGAACGATCCCCAAGTGTAGAGCAGTTGACTCGGAACGAACAAAGGACGAAAAGAAGAGCATAATTAGCAGCTAATGACAATAGATCTGTGATGTAGGGTGGAGTAAGACTGTTTTACGAATTGGAATCCATTCTGTTTGGTATAAATTTTTAGACTAAGAAATATTACATACTCAATTTCTTTCTAGGACGCGCATTACATGCTGTAGCGGAAGAATTTAAAAGGATCAGAATCGCTTTAAGAATCTTTAAAAAGATGGAAAAACTGTGGTTGAATGCAGGTCAGTCTCATAAAAATTAAATGGTGGACTCTGAAACAGTCACCATCAGTTAATTTAGGGATGGTATTTTATTATGACAGAGTGGCTATAGGTTATACTATGCAATGTTATTTATTTATCGATTTATTAGGAGGACCTGATCGAGAGCCAAATATTTCCCCGTCCAGCCCGGCAAAGCTTAGTCAATAAGCATTTTATCACATGATCACTAAGTGTTGAAATTTTCCAAATTTTTTTTTTTTCAACTTAAACAGGGTGTACTTGTGTACAAAAGAAGGGCGGTACCTGGACAACTAATATAAAGATTCTACTGTAAATAACTTTCCCTTTTTTTCGACATTACAAAGCACTTGCGATTGAGGACACTCTTTATGAATGATATCTTATATTTAGTATCGCTGTATATTTATTTGCGTTTGTATCTAAACAAACACGTATATTTAAAACAATATTTTCAGTATGACAGTATTTTTGTCAAAAAACGAAAACAAAGCAACAAAAAAAATAATTATTAGTCAACTTTGAATGTAAAGTTTTCTTTTATCTCCAGTTAAGCTTGTCAATCTGAATTGGCCAGTGGATGAACGTGATTACAACCAAATACTTATTTCGTATTTGGTCTGGCTGAAACTTGCACTTTTTCAGAACTTGAAAGCTCACTGTATTGGCATAGCATAAAAGACCCTGTTAAATTTCATTCATTCCTCCTCTGGCAGTTGATTTACTTGAACTTACATCTGGCCCCTTAGAGTCAGTCGGCTTTTTATTGAAATAAGTCTACTGATTATAAAACACCTAAAACAGCGAACTCTGATTTGAACAATTCATGAGCAACGATCAGATTTCTTTTAGACAGTTTGCGTCAGTATCATGGTTAATTATTCTGCATCTTTTATGTTGCACTGTAGAACCTATTTTGACATCGTCAAGCAATACTCAAGCTGTTATAAAACAATTGGAACACTCTCTAAAGCTAGATCAAGGCTTTTTCAAAAATCCAACCAGAGAGGACAAAAGGGCTATCCGTGGCTTGGCAAGAAAAGCTAAAAATTTCAGAAGATTCGACGTTTTCTATAACTTAAGAAAGATTACACCACCAGGAACAACAGGTTTGCTGTTTAATATCATTTCCTTAACTTCTTCTTGTTAACAAAAAAGTTAGAAGGACTTTAACATTGAACTCTCTTTAATCCGTGAAATTCAGGTAGGAAATAATTTACATAACACAAGCAACACTTTTAAGTTTGCAATACATGGTTGTATATTACTCATGTCATGTTGAGTTGCAAAATAATATCCTTGTTACTATTTGAATTTGAATTTGAATGTTCGTTAACTATTTGAATAAAATACAACGGAAGTACAGAAGGCAAAAGTGGTATTTTGAAGCGACCCAGGAAAAACCAAAACAGAAAATACTTTCCGTTAAACCAATCTCCCACTAGCTTGCTTTTAAAAGTTTTGAATTAAGAATAGACTCGGTGGGGGAACCATTTATGACAAGGAAAATTATTTCCCTGGCGTGGCGGTGACAGTCATCATCTTTTCCTCTGTAAGCCAGACAACAAGCAGCCTCTGTTGCTAACCAGTTGTGGAGCGTGGAAGACAATCGAGATGTTTACGAAATGACTGCGGGAAAACTGGGTAACTGGTCTTCTCGCCTAACTGCCTAAGAAAAAAAGTACTAACTGGGTGGCGTTGCTAAGGTTAATGATCTCGAAACAAACGCACCATAGTGAAATGAATTTATTACGTTTCGCTCAACAACAGCTGAAAAGATAGAGTTCGTCGCGATAAACAACAATGTTCAAAATTTCATGTCAACACAGCGAAAAAACGCGAGCGACAAGCAACACACGTGATGAAACAATCAGCAATGATAATTGAGGGGAGGAGGTGGGGTCATCATGAATTCCATAAATCATAGTTTCGAATCATTTGACTCGTGTGGTCGAGCCTTTATTACGATTCTTCGTTTGTGTGAGAAGCCATTGAGTCAGTATTTATTCCTAAGACAATTATTCTTTTCATTCAGGTCCTTGGTTAACTGATAACTTGCTCATCGTGGACATCCCCAAATACATAAAAGAAAAAAATTCAAAACTTTTGGGACGTAAGTAAAGTTTTGTGAAATAGTTGCCCAATACGAACGCCTATATATAAATGCATTTTTACAGTGGTCTGTTTCATATTCCCGGCCATCGACGTTCACGAGGAGCCATTTCATTAAGATGTGGCTGCTTCTGCCTGGAAATTCCATTTGCGACCTAATAGCAAGCGGCCGAGAGACATATTCCCTTTGTAATCACTTTTATTAAACCAGTAAACATGTGGAGTCACCCCATGTCATGTAATAGACTCGTTTGCACATGTTTTCAGTCTCATACTTTGTATCGCTTCTTTGTTTCTGTTCACCAGGAAAACAATAGCCACGAGGCGTTTTGAAAACACGCAAAAAGCTATATATAACAAAAAAAAAATGACAAAGCTTGGTCTTCTCGTTCAAATTAGAAATATTGAAGCTGCAGAAAAACTTATGTTATCACTAGCGCGTCTGGAATAGCGTCTCTACTTTCACACCTACTCCACATGTTCAGTGCATCACATAGACCCATACTAGAAATGAAACCATACTGCAGATATGTTATTCGTTTTTCATTGCAATGGTCCATGAGTATATCCTGCTGGCAGTTCATAAAGTAAGTCACTCATATAAATTGATGGTCTAGTGGGCGTTCAGTTAGAAAAAAGTCATAATTCGTGACGTACAACGAAGGTGAATGTTTGTTTTCTTTTCTTTAGGGACATATTTGGGGATGCCGTATCGAAGGGCGGGACCAAGCGAAATGAACTACCCCGAGAGCACTACCATACTCGATCTTGTCGCTATGCGATACAAGTTAAGAATGGTGGGTGAGCTGTATGACTTTCTATGTGAAATGGGGTTCTCTAACTTAGCCGATTATCTTTAAATATCTCAATGCTACCAGCCCGCGAGAATCTCTCGATTTCATTTTTTCTTACTCTATCCTATGAGATGATGAATCAGCTCACCCTTACCACAGGAGACAGATAATTTGCTGCTAAAGTCAGTCATTCTGACAGGTAGAGTTGGTTATTATAAAAAAGTATAATGTCACTATCTGAAAGTAATTTAGTACTACACGTCATTAAAGTTGACATTAACTTTTCCCTCATTAGTAACTTACGTTAGTTTTCTAACCGACGCTAAAAATCATTACCTATAATTAATATCGTAAATAGTACTTATCTTTGAAATGGTAGTGGCAGCAAAATTTCATGTTAACACGGTGTTGAAGCTCAAAATTATTTTTAAGGATTTAATCAAACTCCCTACACTTGCTGGAAAAAAAAACAAAAAAAACTGTTGCCAAAGTCAAACCTGCTTTACAAGGATACCGTGTCTATTAATATTGTACTAAAATACTAGACGACCTCAGTTCTAAAAATAAGTTTTCTCAATTTCATTTCAAACTCACTTAAGTAGTTGGACTGTTTGATTTATTTCTGTTCCAAGGCATAGCCCTGCTAAAGATTAAACTTCGTTTAAAATGATTAAACGAGTGTTATCTTTGACCCATTCATATATATACGAGTTGTTGTATGTTCAAACCAGAGAGTTGCAAGAGTTTTTTTTCTGACCAGGAATTACCAAGTGCTAGTTCATGGATATATTTGACCAAAGAGAAAGAAAAGAGATGAAAAGTGCTGTACTTTATCATTTCACTGACACTCCGGTGAAGGTTCATTCGAAGGATCTGGTAGCTTCAATCCTCGAAAAAAATTTTCAGGACACCAACGACATAGCTGAAAATAATCATATTTGTAACCATGTAGGCAAGATTACGCCCTTCTCCGTTAGCAATCTTGATTAAAATCCAAGCCGCTGCAGTTGGTTTCAACATTGCTTAAAGGGTTGGAGGAAAGTTTAGAGAGTCGTAATTAGAGTATATATATATATATATATATAAATGTGGGGGTAGAGTCTACCTTGGCATAAAGTGCTCAATGCTGTGGTAGCAGAGCTGAGTATATATAAGTGAAAGAATCAAAGAGGACGCATCGAGTCTCTGTTACTCTGAGTTTCGCGCCTAAGCGCTCGTCAGACAGAACTTTATTCAATGAAGAACCTACCTCCTTATATACAATTTAGATAAGTAGCTAATTAATTCACTAGTGTAATGATCTGATCTACGTGTGAAATAAAGATTCTATAGAGCTATTGTTAGCGGCTTGTGAAATTTGCTAAGTAAAACTTATTCTCGTGGCGGCATTTAGTTCTGTTCTTTTGTTTAATAAAGACGGCTTCTCAGCTCTAACTAAATAAAGTTTTTCTGTGAGGCACAAGTGGCACCGCTTGCTTTTGTTGCTGTAGGCCGGGGCGTTCGCTAAAATACTCCAGTTTATTGTGAAATTGGTGTTGCTGTCTTTAAGCGTCCAGATATGCTTTGATAGCTCCGTGCTGTTTGAATAATAGAGAGCTTAAGCAACGAACATTTTTTCACGACGGAGGTCTCCATTCCGTGAGAGGAATGGATCGAGAACGGCGTTTGTGGCGCGAAAATTTTTAACTTAAGCGTGTGTTCCTTTTTCACGACGGACGTGTACAGTGTTGAATGGCTCAGTGCACTGAAACGAAAAACTGTAAAAGCTGTTGGAAATGTCTTTGTTTAAAGAAGCTCGGGAAATGCTTTTTTTAAACCATGATATGAAAGCTATAAATGACGAAGAGTTGCTTTTGTTGCTGGACGACAACACATCGAGAAACCCCGAGTTTAACTACGAAAACTATCAGAGATTCAACTTAGATGAAATTCAGGAGCCGGAATGCAAGGCGGAATTTCGTTTTAACAAGAACGATATCCCAGTATTGGCGGAGGTTCTTGGGTTGCCCGAAACATTCCGATGTTCTCAAAGAACCGTGGCAAACAAGCTGGAGGGCCTTTGTATGCTACTTAGGAGAACAGCATACCCTTGTCGCTACAGTGACCTCATACTGAGATTCGGTAGACCCGTTCCTGAACTTAGTATGATCACTAACTGTGTCGTTGACTACCTTTTTGATAACCATGGTCATCGATTAACACAGTGGAACCATCAGATCATGAGTCCTCCTCTCCTTCAAACGTATGCTGATGCTGTGTCCGCACAAGGAGCACCCTTAAACAACTGTCTTGGGTTTATTGATGGGACTGTCAGGCCAATATGCCGACCTGTTGAGCTTCAGGAAGTGGTCTACAATGGGCACAAACGAGTGCACGCCTTAACATTTCAGTCACTTACAGTACCCTCTGGACTAATAGCCAATCTGTTTGGACCAGTAGGTACGTTTTTTGAAAGGAAACTTAAATTTGGTTACTGTTTTCAACAATTCAATTTTACATGCGCAAAATTTTACACTCGATTAAAAAAAAAGGAAAAAAGAAAAAATATAAATGAAGGTAATGAAGCCAAGGAAATTTTATAAATCGATGTAATCTAAATTCACTAAATTAATTTGGTTTTATTCAGATAGCATGTTGGAACGTCCTGAAAGTAATGATCATAACAATTTTGCTGATCACATTTTTAGAGGGCAGGAAGCATGATGCTGGCATGCTGAGGGATTCCCACATGCTTGATGACTTGGAACTGCATGCCTACTCCCCTACTGGCCAAGTCATGTGTGTATATGGTGACCGTGCCTACCCACATAGGGCACACTTACAGGCTCCATTCATATACAATAAAAATATGAGTAAAGTAAGAACCTCAGTAGAATGGATTTTTGGAGATGTGATAAATTCCTTTAAATCCCTTGACTTCAAAAACAACCTTAAAATTGGACTTAGTACCATTGGAAAATGTATGTTGTTTGTGCAATCATTCGCAATGCTCTAACATGCATGTATGGCAATCAAACATCAGCATTCTTTGCTGTTGAGCCTCCATCGGTTCATGAATATTTCTCTTAGCAAGGGTATAGCCAGACAAGAGATACACAAAATATTGTTTTCTTGTGTAGTATTAGCTTACCTAATCACCTTTATTCAAAAGGAATACTTTGTTTGAAGAAAGAGTATTCAATTAATAATCTTTACACATCTCAAGGCCAAAGTATTTATAGAAGGCAGTATGTAAACATTTACATGTACTTTAATTGATTGAAGAAATGCCAAAAGATATATGCAAAATAACATAAAATTATATATACAAAATATGTAATAGCTTTGTAATATTTGAAGAAACATGTAGACATGAAAGAAGTCTCAAAAATCATATACCGGTACATCATAATGGAGTGGAATTTCTTGAACCTCCAAGGGAGAGTGAGAAGTAATACAAGTATAATCATGGGTATAATAACAGTGTTTGACTGAAGCACTGGAAACAAGTTTGGGTTCAAGAAAACAGAAGTACACACACATAGTGCACTACCCATAGACATAAATAAAAAGCATTTTATTTTCCCATCTTCTCCAGCATTTTAATCATAACTTGGCTTTGTTGTGAAAGCATCATCATCAACTGTGTTTGTTGCTGTTGTTGTTGCTGCTGTTGCTGAAGCATAACATTGAAGAATGCATCATTTTTCCGTTTCTCTTCCTCCTGCTGACTTTTCTCTAGCTCCAACTGTTTTTCCTTTTATTTCATCTCCTGCTCACTCTTTTCCCTAAGGTACTCAATGGTATCACTTGAGCTTTTTCTTGTCTTTTTTGCCTTTCCATCCCCACCTTCTTTTTCTCTCTTCCTCTTGCTCGTCTCACCAAGCTTTTCTAGTGCCTTCTGTCTCATTTCCTCACCATCCTCTTTTTCTTACTATTTGACTTGTCTGTAATTATTTAAAATCAAAATGTCATTTTTATTCTTTAATTCAGAACTTATATGTATGAGAACTTAAAATTTTCAAGCCAACAACAAAGTGGGAACACTCTGGAGGTAGTATATATGCACTCTGCAAAGTACTGATAAAATTTGGTTTTACTTAAATTAAAAATCCCCAAAAGGCAATAGGTCACCTTGTGAAAAAGTTCATAAACAAAACTGTTTTTTTTTTTTCATTTACTACATATAAAAAATTTAAAACACCATGCCCATCACAGCTCCGGTCTTTGCAGAGTTTTCTTAAAACAATATAATAACAAACACTGGTTGGGGAATATCGATGGTTGTTAACAAAACAAATGTCAATGCTACTTATTGGAGCTTACCATCATTTTCTCGTTGATGTTTCTCAGTCTGTTCTCTTTCCACCAACTCTTCCACCAACACATCAAGCTCCGACACGGTGGAATTAATCCCACTTTCTTTTCTCTCCTTTGCCATTCTTATCTTAAACTTTTCAGTGAGAAGCCGGTACCGTTCTTGAACGGCTCGTTTATCGAGTGATTTCTTGAACGCGGGTCTGGTAGTTTTCGCCAAGTTCTCAGCAGCTTGGTTCCACAATTTAGCTCTTGCCGTCGTCTTATACTTCGCTTGGAAGGGGTTTATGACCAAAAGCTCCCGACAGAGCACCAAATCATGGTACTGTCTCCATTCCATGTGAGAATCTCTGGCGATAAAGAGATAACTGGACCTGTAAAATTTTTCTATTAGGTTGTGAAAAGACACCGTACACCTGGCAAGAATTGCAGTTTGTGACACCTGGCGCAACCCTTTCAATACTCGGTTACTTAAAAACAAAGTTTAAAAAATTATTACTTATATTTCTAAGCTTACCTTCATTCAAAACAACCAAAATCCCAGGTGTACAATATCCAACTTAAGCTTATTTAATATAAACATACGATTTTAGTCGCTGGGCTTGTCTATCGTGAAAAAAAAAACAACAACAACCAAAAAAACAAAAACAAAACATGCCCTCTCACACAGAAACTTGGCAAATTTAACTGAATGTTACTTTAAGACAAATTTCGTTTTCCTTACGAAGACTTTTCTCTATCTTTGTCGTCGCAAGAAGCCATGGAGTATGAGGATCGTGGCGAATCTGCACGGGCGGGAAAAGTTCATTGGAGCCCTCCGCGACAAACCACGACGGCCGTGTGATATGCGTAGTGCGCAAGATTTATGCAATTTCAGTTCCGGTTGACCTCCGTGAATCGCGAACGTCTGCTGCTTAAGCTCCCTAGTTTCTGTTCCGAAAAGAAAGTTTGTGTTGCGTGTAACGTTGTTTAAAAGTTCCTTCAGTTAGTCCAATGTAATTCTTTCCGGTTGTGTCATTTTCTGTTGTTATGTTGGCGTTGTAGACGCCGCTTGAAGTGAGGCAGTTGTTTTTTAGAGGACAGTGGTTTTTTTTCCTGCAGTTACAGTTGTTTTCCGTGGAGTGTGTCTTGCTTGTCTCGAGGATTTTTCTGTTGTATATATATATATGCTCATTAGTTTTTCTAGTTTGAGCACTCTGGCATGGCTTAGATGATTCCACATGTGTGAGATCACTTGGGGTGGCTATATGGCCTTACCTCCATCCTAGCATCAGCACTGCACTGATGAGGCCTAGAAGGCCGAAACAGTACTGTCTGCAGTTAGTTATATATATATACATATTTTTTCACGACAGATTAAACACATATTTCCTAAAGCCTTTTTCTCCAAATAAATTTTTATCAGAAAAGCAGGTAACAGGTCGAGACGTCAACTTTTTTACCCTTTACGGTGGCCAATTTACGTTTTGAACTCAGTTGTTAACACTAAATTACCTGCTATACTCTCCCACCGACGCAGCACCACAGTTTCTGTAGAAACCTACCCCCTTTATTCATTTGATCAGAATTCTTGGTTTTCACCCACGTGACTTTCGTCTTGACGACGGTTGCTATCCGCCATGTTGGTGCCCAAACAAATAGTTACAAATGCGCTTATAGTAAGGTGAACGTGAGATAGTAGAAATGGTTCTTTGTGTAGTTTTCGGCTGTGGCAGTAGAAGCGATCGGGAGAAAGGGATTGGATTTTATCGAATACCATCAGTTATCAATGATAAGTCTACCTTCGAAGAAGAATTGACAACAGAGAGGAGAGAAAAGTGGATACAAGCGATAAGTCGGGGCGACACAAAAGCAAAAGACGTTCTCAAAAGCGAACGAGTATGCGGCAAGCATTTTGTCTCTGGAAAGCCATCTCCTTACTGGGACAAGCACAATGTAGATTGGGTGCCAACTTTAGAGCTCGGAAAGAAAAGTTATGGCCGTGAGATAGACTATGAAGCGAGAGCAAAGAGGCAAGAAAGAGCGAAGAAAAGAGAGAAACACGCCATCGAGCAACAAGAACGCGAAGCGGCAGAGAAGCGTCAGAAACTCATCGAAAGCAGTCTTCCTGTGGCCCAGATCGACTTTAATCAGCCAAGCACCTCCACAGAAGAAGAAAAAACTGGAAACGAAGATGCCTTTTCCGGTGACCTTACGGCATGTGATGAAGGCAGTGAGTCTGATGAAATCAGAACGCAAATTATGAGAGACGCCGAGTGCCAAGCAGACACAAAGCTAAAGGATTCGGAATGCCAAACCACCGAATTAGAATACATGTTTCAAACAAGTACGTATCGGGCACCGGATAAAGAGTTCTTTGACTCAGACGAGAAGGTTCGCTTCTATACTGGTCTACCTTCCTTGGAAGTGCTAATGGTTGTGTTTGACCATGTAGCTTCACATGTAAAAAGGCAAACTCAGTCACTCGATAGGTTCCAAGAGTTCATTATTGTACTCATGAAACTTAGGCTTAATGTACCGTTACAGGATCTTGCCTACCGTTTTGTTGTATCGATTTCAACTATTTCAAGAATATTTTTCCATTGGATTGTGGTAATGGACAAGAGACTGTTTCCCTTTGTTTACTGGCCAGACAGGCATCAACTTTGGAAGACAATGCCCCAGTGTTTCCAGTATGCCTTTGGCAGGAAAACAACTGTTGTTATCGACTGTTTTGAGGTGTTCATTGAAAGACCATCAAACTTGCTTGCCAGAGCACAGACATTTTCCATTTATAAACACCACAACACTATCAAGATTCTTGTTGGTATAACCCCCACGATTTCTTTTGTTTCAGAAGCCTGGGGAGGTCGTGTCTCTGATAAATTTGTAACCGAGAACTGTGGTTTTCTGGACAAGCTTCTTCCGGGAAATATGGTGATGGCTGACCGAGGATTTACCGTCAGTGAAAGCATTGGTCTCAAGCAAGCAAGCAAGACTGGTAATCCCAGCTTTTACAAAGGGAAAATCTCAGCTGGACCCAGTGGATGTGGAGCAGACTAGAGGAATTGCAAATGTAAGGATCCATGTTGAACGTGTGATTGGATTGCTCAGACGAAAATTTACAATTCTAGAAGGTACCCTGCCAACTGACTATCTTATATCTAATCATGAAAACTCTGATCGCCACACTCCACTGGTGGATCACATGATAAGAGTTTGTGCAGCTCTTGTTAACTTCTGTTCTCCTATTGTACCTTTTGATTAGGCAAACCTCCCATTTCAAATAGTTATGTTGTGTATGTGTTTATTACTTTTTCATCAAACTGTGTTCTATCCAGAATACCCCAATTAGGTTTGTGCTACTTGACTAATACCCATGACTTATTTTGGTGTTCAAATTTTTTTTTAGTTGTACTGTAAATAGTGAAATAATATTGTATCTGATGATCGAGGAATTCTCCATGAGGGTGTCAACAATATACTTCAAACCCTTGATCATTCTTTAAAAAAAAATTTAAAGCCTTGGAAAGAGAAACCAATCCCCTGTTTATGTCCCCTTTTAATTAGATATCACTTGTTGATTCCTTCCTTTAAAACCGGAGGGTTGTTTGACATTGTCTTTATGTGGGTGTGCCATTGTCGAAATGAGAGGAAAAGAAATGAAACATTGATTTGACATAATGTTGGCATGCAGATTGGATGAAGAATGCATCCAGCCCTGTCATCTTTAATTTATAATTATGTTAAAACAGTAGATATTTTAGCATTCAATTACCATTGGCTGTTGTGTGTCTTAGTAGGGAAAGCAAAGAATACCATGAAAATTACAACTGAGGTACAAACAACTTTGACTGGCAAGTGTGATTAAAAAAATTGCCCTGCAAAACTTAGTTTTCTTTTATGAACAAAATGATCTTCTCATGCATGTAATGTACATAGATTGAGAACTGAAATTGATTAAAAACAAAATTACATGGATTTTATCCTTCACTTCAGACTGTATGCATAATCAGTGTACTTAGAATGTAGGGAACAAAGTAAACTTGCCATTACTTAGACATGATGCTAAGTGAGTTCTCATACTTTGAGCATCAAAATTTATGAATGTGGGATCTTCTCCAAAGACCAGGCAGGTGGAAAATGCAATAGCAAAAACCCCACAGTCACTTCCATTTGTTTGCTGCTGCACTGGCATAGGGTTAAGAGCAACCAAACCCCTTCACCACTTGAGGAATCTGATGAAAAACAATACTTGGTAGGGGTGGTGGCTAAATGGACAGTGGCAACTTTATTGCATTCAGAACATTTCCAGGTTGTTTGATAATTGTTGGGCATTCCGTTTAAACCGAGGCAGGAAAGGTGGAAAAATTTTCCATTTTTACAGTTGTCTCCATGGCATTCTACAACCTTCTCTGTTGTACTAGGCTTAGCCTTGCAGATGCAGATGTTGTCCAATTTCATAGCTGCCTGAATAGATGCTGTAGGGGGTTATGCTGATGTCCTGGTACCACCTCTTCTGTTGAAATGGGGAAGTTGAGAACAGTGAGGGCAATACCAAGTCTTTGGCTTTCTCATGGCAGTGAGTGAAAGACAGGAAGGGTGAAACCTTTTGTAAGGGCAATTTTTGTTACTGCATGAAATGGTTTCCTCGTGTCCGATTTTCCTGCAAAAACAAATACCATCCTTATCTGGTAATTTAGGAGGCACTGTGCATCTTCTGGTATACCATCGCCCTAGAATTTCTGGAAGAATACATATTCTCCAAAATGTTTCCAATTTGGGCAGTACAGAGTTCCAATGCTGCACATCTGGATATATGCGCAGCACTATTAAATTCACGCTCTTTTTCTCATCAATGGCACAAACCACAAACTCACAATACTTGATTCCAGGCACAGAGAAAAGCTGCTGCTGCACCTGATAGTAGTAGCTGTGATTTTTTCTAAGCTGTAAATGTCCATTCACTTTTTCTAAGCAGGAATTCTTCTGCTGAGCAAAGTTCTCAAAGTTGCCATCTTTGATTATAATCAGGCACTTCACTTCACCGCATCCAGTGCCACAACAGTCACATGAAACTAAGAAATCAGGAGTGGCATGGAGAAATTCATGTTCTTTGTTAATAAACAAGCCACACTTCTTAACAGTTAAGTTCACATGACCATTTTTTCAGCAGCTTTGTTTGCATTTACAGCATCACTTTCATGCCTCTTACCATGCCTGGTAGCTTTAGTGCTAACTATGTAGAGGCTTGGGTAACAAATTGTTTTAATCAGAGACTGAGAGGGCTGTGCAATGTTTGTGTGAAATGCTGCGTGACTTTCAGACGCACCAATTCTGCCAGCACGATGTCTAAAAAAAACCCGACCCACTGGCTTGATCTCTTGTGTTGAGTTCCACTTTGTTTACGTGCTCATCAGAAATATCCAATGTCACTTCAACACATTTTCTTAGTAGTTCTGGATAAGCAAGATCAACATTTCCCGTTTCAAATAGGTCGGGAATAATCGGCAGGGAGCAGCTCTCATCGATAAACTGGTTAGCATAGGGATCGATGAAGCTGAGAACAGCAGCTTTAATTTTGCAAGCATTTAGTTTCGCATACACAGCCTGCATTTCGTCTCCTGATAGAGACGCGATGGGCGAACTTAGATCGTCCTTCTCCGCTGAGTTTTTCTGTTATTCCCCGAAATTTGGGTGCAAGGAGTCGATTCTTTGGTCCAGCGTCTTTTTAAGCTTTTTCGCGGACGAAAAGTCGATATCCCGCACCTTCGAGTACGGCACTTCTCTAACATACGTTGGCAGAATCCACGTGCACTTAGTTTGAGTACATGCGAGTTTCCCTTGGATTCTTGTCACTGCTTCGATATAGAAAAGGACACTTGCTACGTGCGAGCAGGATTCAGCAAGGCCTGCCTTGCAGCCTAAGCAATGAGCTGAAAGAATGGTACCATCACTTTCTGCGATGATCCAAATGTCTATCAGAGGATCGTTCATCCGTTGCGAATGTTTCCCCACCACAACAACAATCTTGTTGAGAATCTCTGCTCCTTGAACCGAGTTTACGAAGCCAGACACCACTTGCTTGTACGCTTCTTTTGAAAGCTTTAAACTGCTTATTTGTATAATACCTTGTCTCGAGAACTAAATAGGAAAGAAGGTCCGAGACTTCAATCGGGGGCAAACATTCTGAGTGGAACTGCTCCTTTGGAATGGCTGCTGGATCGACGCCGACCACAGAAATTTTCTTAAAATATCGCTCTCGAACATGGCTTTCTAGGCCCTCCGCATAGCTCGAAAGCACGGGTATCCTGAGAAGAATATTCTCTTGCGATTGTGGATTTTTTTCGCTTGAAGTATCCATAGAACAAAGTAATTGAAAGAGGGCACGATAGAGATGGCACTATATTTGCATGAAATTTCACACCTAAGATGAGCACCAACATGGCGGACGATTAATTTGCATAAATGTATGACGTCAGCTGCAAACCAGCAATAGTAGGCGTTCGCTGGGTAGATAACAACAACTAAACTCAATCTGCACTTTTTATCAGATGCAGTTGAATAATGTGTGAAGTTTTCGATGCGCGTGGAGGCTTTTAGGTCAGAATTTAGCAGAATTTAAGTAAATACCTTTAAACACTGTGTTACCGGCATCAGTGAAAAGCAAAAATCAACCCTGATTTGCCCACTTTTCATAAGTTAATCCTGATATCTATGACTGTAAAAAAATTTTACCGATTGGTTCGCGTTTGTAGAAAATAAAGATTAATTCAAGAACAATCCTTCTCGTGCATTTGAGAGAAAAATTAGTTCCCAAGAATACCAGCGCATAATGGAAGAGAGAGGAAAAATTGATTCTACCCCTCCCCCTCACCGTCCCATCATCTTGTACGAGGGCCACACGTCAGCAAAAAGTCTGTCGCCAAATTAGGCTCTGAAAATGGTTTATCATACCAATAATAGCTCTCCTTGCTCACATGGGCGGGTATATGTTGAGAAAAACCTTTGTGGAGACAAGTTTCAGAATAATCGCACTCATTATGTCGTAGGTCAAACATGTTAAATTTCACCGCCGAAAAAATCAGGGAAACTTTTTCTTTTTGCTTCAATGAATTTGGTTGCGTTCCTAGTTGGAAATCTAATAATCGAAAGAGTAATCGCTTCAACTCTTTTATGATAAACATGGCAGATCCGGTGTTTCAAAGATGCTAGTTTGATTTTTTTTAGCTTAAAGTTTAGTTGGCTCCGCTATAGTTGAATGTGTCATCGGTCTGATTGTGTCGACATCACAAACTATTCAAAACTGGTGAGGCGGCAAATTTGAGAGCGATCTCGCTCAAAATTAGAGAACTTATGGGCCAACATTGGCCTGCCGGGCTTCATAGAACCCTCTTGTCTGAGTTTCAGATGGCCAAGGTTCACCTTCTACACACGGATTTTGGAGGATTAAAGATTTATCTTCAATTTGCACTAAAAACCCCAACTACCTGCCTGAGTTGTAGGTAGTGACAACTGGCAAAACCTAAACAGATGTAAGGTTTTTATGTTGTTAAACGGTTTCCCTCGATGAGAGCTTTACTTGATGTATCCTCGTTTTACTTGAAGCATCCACGGTTGAATCTTCGAGAGGCTAAATGCCCATAAATGGGTGTGTTCTTAAAATCGTAATGCTTCAACTGTGGGGGAAAAAAAAATATATATATATATAACATGCTCGCTAAAATTTTAGTATGTAATAGTCTGCCAGAATTTGGGCGCAAATAACAATTTCAGGCAGTAGCATTCTTAAGCTAGGTTTTAAAACATGATAAAATGAAACATTGGCACAAACAATAACTTGCGTAGCCTATGTTTCTTGATTTCGCCCTGACAAGTACGCTTCGGCGCTAATATTACAGATCCATATTTTTTCGCTATTTTGCAAGTAAATGTTCCTAATAAACCATCCAAGAGATGAATAATGGTTTATTCATCACTTGGATGGTTTATGTGGACCAAACACATTCACAGTTCCCAGTTGGCTTGTTAGCTCAGTTGGTAGAGTGCTGCACCAGTATCGC